TCATGAAAGTCTGAACATATCCTGGCTGAACGTTTCAGATGAGTTTCATTTATCTTTTACAATTTATTTGTTTCTTTTTAGTCTGCAGCATTTGCATTTCGAGAATGTTTCATTTTTAAATTCAAACTCTTTTAAGTTGTAAAATGTAATTTTTTGACTCCAAAAAAAAATATTTGCACTGTGACGGAGCTCATTAATATTACAAAAGTGCCCAAAATAAAAGTGTTTATAACACTGTGTAAAGCAAATAAATATCTGCCACTTTGTTTTTGAAAATATATGTTGTTTATTGTGTGGGTGTAAATGTGCTTTGGTCAATTTCTATTATTATGTAAATGATATGCAAATTACATGCAAATTATGCCACCACGGTGGTTTAAATTCCTGGGGAGAACACTGAAATGGCCGCCAGTCGGCCATTTTGAATCTTATCTGAAAACAAAATGATCAAGGTCCTATAATTTCCATCGTATATACCAAGTTTGAACAAAATCCATCTGTAAACAGACGAGAAATGATTGATTTTGATGATTTTTAGAACAAAATGGCCGCCATTCGGCCATCCTGAATCAGATCGTGAAACAAATAGATGTGCATATGTATAATATCATGCATGATGTATGTGTGAAGTTTGATTGTGATTGGTCCAGGCATTTCTAAGATACAGGTCCGGACGCATGCATGGAGGTCAAAACATAAGTCCTTGTTTTACGGGATTAAAAATTGAAAAACTAATGACTGGATGATCACAGTTACACACCTAATGACTGATGTATGTTGAAGACAATCCATAAATGACAAAGAAGTTATTACAAGAAAAATTACAATAATGTAAAAAAAGAATACTTACTACTGAAGGTACTGACTGAGTAGATGGTGGTGTTGCTTGTGGAATAGAAGAATTAGGAGAGACAAAACCTGCTATTCTGTTGACAGCCTGACCATTCAAATCAGAAGGCCCATCTAAAACAAAGTAATTGCATTAAATACAAAGAAATGTCTTACATTATCTTGGACTTTGTTTTCAGTTCACTTTACAACTGCTTTTATCACTAAAAAAAAAAATATTTTTGTCATTATTCGAAAGATAAACAGTGAGATAATATTTACTTTGATTTGGCCTTGGTGGTACTTGAGAAACTTTGGCTTCCTGCATCCTCCTTTGTCGCTTCTCTTCCAACTCTTTTTGTATTTTATAAATTTTCTCAGCAAGCAGATGGTAGTACTCCTCCTTAAAATATTAAAAACATAAATTACTTGTCATGTCATGTGAATTAAAAGTCTCTGTTAGTTCAATAGTTAAAAAAACTGAAAAAAATTAGTATATGCATCTTTGGATATATGTGTGAAATTTGAATGTGATTGGCCAAACAAAACACACAAGTACTATCCCATGTAATAAGATGATGTTCTTATTCATTGTGATGATTTGACAGTGTTCTCCCCAGGATGTAAACAGCTTCGATTTGCCGCCACAGTGCTTCGATTTGCCGCCACACTGGTCTGACATAAAATACATTTGAATCATGTACAAAAACTCTTCTTTCAAGGCTTTTTTTCACCTTTTAAAAATTACTAGTCATCTTTTTTGAAAACCATCATGCAGTTTTCATCTGAAATCCATGAAAAGACCTTGTGCTACGACATCGCTTTACTTTTGCAATGTAATTTTTATGATCACTACCATTCAGAAAACTTCGGGTTCTACTAGCATTACCATACGGCATTCTGATTGGTTAATGGTGTTCTTGACTCATCGGGTCAAAGGACATATGCTGGTCAACTAAATCGTCACAAACATCATGGCGGGTCTGTGTTTTCACTGCTGCGATCGAGTGATCAAGTCAAATTATTTTATGTTTATTTCATCATCATGACTGAGTAAGAGGAATTATTGGTATGACCAGTGTATAACACCAAAAAGTAAGTTATGTCACGCTGTAACTTTAACGATCGTTTAGAAGTGTTTTTTATATTCGTTCATTGCTGTAAATGTGAACATTGTAGAAGCTTATGGTACGAATAATAAACAACAATTCGCCAAATAATTACGTGATCGATTTTTTGAAGGAGAATGTTTTTGTAGTAAATAAGATCATGAAAGTCGTGAACATATTCCTGGCTGAAACGTTTCAAATGCGTTCCATTTAACCTTTTACAATTTACTTGTTTGTTTTTAGTCTGCAGCATTTGCATTTCGAGAATGATCCATTTTTAAATTCAAGCTCTTCTAAATTGTGAAACTTAATATTTTGACTACAATAAAAAAAAAAATATTTGCACTGTGACAGAGTTCATAAATATTCATTGCCTAATTGGGATTAAGTGGTAATTTACAAAAACACCAAAAGAAAAGTGTTTACAACAAAACTGTGTGAAGGAAATAAATATGATACATATTTGAAACATCATGAAGTATTTGGCCACGTCTTGGGCCTAGCAGTTGACTAATAATAATCTTAGTTACAAGCACACCTCTCCAGGGTGTTATTCTCCTGTATTTTGGTGACCAATACTCACTTGGTTCACTCTACTATGAGAAGTCAGCTCTCAGTTTACATTCATATTCAATGCAGGGTCTGATGTTTTGAATTTGTGGTCCCTACTTGAAATTGACCCATTAGCTATCCTTTCAAATCAAAAGTATTATTTCTCAAACTCATCCCCGTTGTTCTTACTTACCCTACTGCTTGCAGAGTCATACATGTCACCTTCCACTTTCCGTGCATAAGCCACCAGATTACCCATTCTCCTGTCTTTCATTGCTGCTGGGTCTGGCGAGGGAAATATCGCTTGAACACTGAAAGAAAATACAGAAAATTTAGGTTGTATTCACACTGAGGTGATATGTGTGACCATATAGTTAATAATAACAAAGTTTCTCATACTCACAGTTTATGTACTAAATGATTGCGAAGGTCAGGAGTAACATGTTGATGCCATGCCTTGGAGGTACCAGTAGACACTTGACTATTAGCTGTATCTCCACCTCCAGTTGTTGAATGAGCCGGCAACCCACTGCCAGGTAAAACACTGGTTCCACCACTGGAGGAATTTAATGAATCACTCGGGCTACCAACTCCCAAACCTGTTAAACAAATATTTGGTGTGATTTACAAAAAATCTAAAATAAAATAAAAACAATTTACAATCATGAGATAATAATGACAAAGCAAATGAGCTCACCTGGAGGACTCAGCATACCAGTACGTGACTGAGTTGCTGCTGTATTTCCTGTGTAGTGCAATCCAAGTGCTGCATATGCTCTTTGCATTGAGCTATGATCTATCTGACTCTGTGATTGACCTGTTGTTCCACCTCCAATTGCAGTAGTTGATGTTAATAGTGCTGCAAAAAAGTTTATTTGATTTTTACATTTATAGAAACGTATGCTACGTTCACATTATGGGATCTTGGCACATGTTGAAATTTGGGACTCATTTGGCTCATGCCGAAATCACACCCCAACCCTTGATCTGGTATTTGACCCAAACATGGAAAACAATACGTATATGATGATAATAATTGCTATATTGAAGTTGTACCCATTTGATGTTATGGTATTTATTACTAGGCACGTGCCAGCCCGGTGCTGAAATCTCTAACGTGAACAGCACTACAAGCTAGTCATATTAGTATAAACATTTAACAGTAATGAGCCAAGGGAAATTCACCGAGCACACTCTCTAAATAATATATACAAAACTAGCAGCCTGTAGGCTGAGATAGCTTCGCTGTTTGTGATGCATGCTCTGAAAGCAATGACTAAGAAGCAATTTAAACTTAATGCTATCTGCTTTAATATCGCAAGACACCAACTTTCTTGATTTTGTTGCAGAGAATATTTCACTAAAATTAGAGATTTGAAGATATCGTGATGAAATTACCAAATCTGACAGATTTACCCAAGGTACCTAAAAATAAAGTTACAAAGCAGTTGAAAAAAATAACGTTTTTAACCAAAAATTACAAAAATATTCATCAAAATCAAAAGAAGATATTGTCACTAAATCAACAAATCCAACAGAGGTCCACTTGATATACCTACATATACAATATCAAAACAAGCAGCCAGTCGGCTGAGATAGCTCCGCTGTTAGCAATGCATATTTCAATTAAAGAACTGAAGATATCATTAGAAAATGAACAATATGTATAGTATCAAAGCAATGGAACTTGCTGTTTTCAACAAGAATTCAAAAATATAACTTTTTACTAAAAATGACAAAAATATAAAGCAAAATTAGAGAATTGAAGATATCACAAAATGAACAAAAATATTCATCAAAATTAGAGAATTTGAGATTTTGACATGAAATGAACAAATCTGAGAAAACCATCCAAGGTACTTGCACATCAAATTTGAAAAAATTCTGACTTGCGGTTTTGAAGAAGAAGTTAAAATTGTAAAGTTGACGACGTCAGCGGACAATCAGTAGTATGAACAGCTCCGCTGTGTTGACTTTGGTCAAGCAGTTTTCAGGGAGAAGTCCAAAATATAATTTTTTACCAAAAATGACAAAAATATTCATCAAAATTAGAGAATTGAAGATATTGTCACAAAATCAACAAATCTGACAGAGGTCGACCTGATATACCTACATACACAATATCAAAACAATTGGTCAAGCAGTTTTCAAGGAGAAGTCAAAAATATATTTACCAAAAATGAAAAAATATTCATCAAAATTAGAGAAATGAAGATATCATCACGAAATGAACAAATCTGAGAGAGGTCCACCCAAGGTACCTACATACAAAGTATCAAAGCATTTGAGCTAGTGGTTTTCAAGTAGAAGTCGAAAATAGTATTTTTGACCAAAAATGACAAAAATATTCGCTACAAATAAGACAATTGAACATATCCACACAAAATGAACAAATCTGAGAGAAAACCAACCAAGGTACCTTCCTATACCTATAAAGTTTCACAGATATACAGTTTGTGGTTTTTAAGAAGTTGAAAATGTAAAGTTGACGACAGCGACAGACAATCAGTAATACTATAAGTTCCGCTCGACTTTGTCGACAGCGAAGCTAAAAAATAAAAAACACTGATACCTTGAGTATTTGCTTGGTGCTGTCTTCTGTCAGAAGCATTTTTGAGAGGCAAGCAGACAGGGCAGTCATTCCTGGTACAGTTTTTCCAATGCGAAATGATTTGCCTGGAAGATGCACAGTGTGCCACTGTGAAATGAAAATACAAATTCAATATTGATCTTTAAAAAAACAATACAATTACAATATGTATACAAAGCTGTCAGTCGCCTGATATAGCTCCACTAATTGAATTAAATTCTGTTAAAGAAATTCGACTAAAAAGAATAATATATACCCTAAGTATTCTAATTTGGCCATCACTATATTAAGCATAAAAGTGAAAGGCTGAAATAGGCGCTATGTATATCCACATGATAACAAGTCATTGTCAATGACACGTCCCCGTTCTGTTCATATTTGAGTGACATGTACATTCAAAGCAGCAACAATATGGATGTTGAACTGCATTCAGTAAAACAAAATAGCCACCAGTCAGCCATTTTCAAATCAATCCCAAAAAATATTTTAACTACACCATGTAACTCTGCCCACGCATGACTAAGATTCAGTTCCGGTATGGTGAAAATGTACAATTTTGGTGAATTTCTGACCTTAAAAGGACTGGCCCAAATGCACAGGCATATGTATGATATAATGTATGATGTGTATGTGAAGTTTGAACTTGATCTGTCCAGGCATGTCTGAGATATGGATCGAAAACTAAATTCTTTAAAATAAAATGGCCGCCAGTCGGCCATTTTGAACTTGATCCGAAGAAAAATTGGTGTGCATCAAGCTTATATTATGTTCAATATATGCACTAAATCTGAACAAAATCCATCCATGCATGACTGAGATCCGGTTCCGGAATTGTGAAAATATGTGATTTTGATGCATTTTCGGCCTTAAAGCGACCGCCATTTGGCTATCGTTAATGAGATCATGAAACAAATGCACATACATTTTGAATCCATTAACTGTGGTTATAGGAAATGTTTGTGAATGAGTAGAGTGTTCCCCTAATATCACAAATAAACTAATCTAATAGAGGTCTATCCAAGATACAAAAATATTGATGACATGCGTCAGATTTGTTGTTGTTGTTAGAATTAGTACCGGTATCAATTTAAAATACAATTATCCCATCCAATGCCCTGTTAGATCTGGTGTGTACCACAACAAAGCAATCAGGTTAGGCTTTTCAAGGTAAATATAGAAATAAGGAATGAACAAATCTGGGAAATCTGCTATCCATAGCGCATACAAACAATAGCACATACCTTGGCAGGATTTTCCAGCTTGGCAGTGGGTCATATGGTTGAGAACATTTTTCATAGTACGACAATGTGGAAGAGAACATTGCCTAACTTCCCCATTAGCCTGACTTTCTCGTCTCTGGCATTTGTGAGCATGTAAAAGTAGTACGAGTTGTTGTTGAATCAGCTTTCTTTTTTCAGGATCAGCTGTAGGCGCTGCTGATGGAGTAGTTACTGATGGAGTAGTTGTTGTTGTGGTAGCACCGACTGCTGATACTGACTGCTGCTGCTGAGGTTGTTGTGGTGGTTGTGGTTGTTGCGGCTGGGTCTGCTGAGGCTGCAAGAAAAAGCAATGATAAACAATTTTCTCTGAAATCTAACAAGCGGCTTGTGAGATATTGGTGGAACAAGATGCCATACTTGACCAACTAAGCTCCCAGGGTACTTAGCCCCATCTCCCCCAATTATTTGGGGGGCCACTTTGTTAAGATCCTCTCTTAAAAAATTATTCAAATAATAATTCTTGTTCATCACATGCCGGATTAGCGAGAATATTACAGTCAAACCTGTGTTAATGGCCACTTGTATATAGCGGCCGCAACCGAACAGTTCCTACGCATTTTATATGTGGCTAATGACCACCCGATTTTAAACTTATTCACACTTAAACCTTTGTATGACTACCACCTTGTTTACATCAGACATGTGAATTGCTAACAGAAAGGTAGCCATGTGTTCAGAGTATCCAATACACAATCTTTAGGGTTAATCAGAGGGGAGGGGTGTACATCACAACTTGGGTTGTGAAGTTGCTAACAAGCAGCCAGTCGGCTGAGATAGCTTCGCTGTTAGCAATGCACATTTCAATTAAAGAACAGAAGATAACATTAGAAAATGAACAAGCAGCCTATCGGCTGAGATAGCTCCGCTGTTAGAAATGCACATTTCAATTAAAGAACTGAAGACATCATCAGAAAATGAACAATATGTATAGTATCAAAGCAATCGGACTTACAGTTTTTAACAAGAAGTCGAAAATATCACTTTCTACCAAAAATGACCAAAATATTCACCAAAATTAGAGAATTGAAGATATCATCACGAAATGAACAAATCTGAGAGAGGTCCACATGTAGTACCTATATATGTAATATCAAAGCAATCGGACTAGTGGTTTTTAACAAGAAGACGAAAATATCACTTTTTACCAAAAATTACAAAAATATTCACCAAAATTAGAGAATTGAAGATATCATCACAAAATGAACAAATCTGAGAGAGGTCCACATGTAGTACCTATATATGTAGTATCAAAGCAATTGGACTTGCGGTTTTTAACAAGAAGTCGAAAATATCACTTTTTACCAAAAATGATAAAAATATTCATCAAAATTAGAGAATTAAAGATATCATTACAAAATGAACAAATCTGAGAGAGGTCCACATGTTGTACCTATATATGTAATATCAAA